TTGAAGGAATAAACAGCAGCAGAATCACAGAACCGAAGAATGGACTAACAGTAATAACCAAAGGGAAAGAGAATGGGGAGGATGGGTGGGAAGGAAGGGATTAGGTGGGGGAAAAAGAAAGGGGGCATTAAGATTAGCATGTATAATGTAGGGGGAGGCACAGGGAGGGCTGTGCAACACAGAGAAGATAAGCAGTGATTCTGCAGCATCTCACTACGATGATGGACAGTGACTGTAATAGGGTTTGTTGCGGGGACTTGGTGAAGGGGGGAGTCTAATAAACATATTCCTCATGTAATTATAGATTAATAATATCAAAATAAAACCATAAAAATATATTATTTAATATACTTTATAACACTAGTATTCTGAAAGAGACTTATCCCCTATATATATTTTTAAAGCATGAAAGTACGTATGTCTGTGTATATAACCCTCCTAACCCTAAGTATATAACTTTTCTGGGTAATGAGTTCCATAAGTTTGAAAAACTCTGAAAAAGTTAAACTTCTTTATGTTTGGTAAAAAAATGTCTTCCTTTAAATTGTTAGCAATGATTCCTAATTCTAGTATTTTGAGACTAAGTGAACAAGCCATTATCTATCCTCTTTCCTCCCTAAAACAAAGAAAACTGCCTTAACATTTGAACACTCACGAAGCTTATCACTACACTCAGATGTTATTTTGAGCCTAAACTAAGTAGTATGCAGTTGTACCTCCTCGCTCACTGTATTTCTCAGAGGAGATTCCAAAGGGGGGCCCAGGTTGACATGACTGTTCACCAAGAGGCCATTTCTCTATGTCTGGGATGCCTGAGCTCTGGTGGTTCATACCATACTGGGGCATATCTACAGGTACACCTGATTATCTAGGTTCATTTAAGCTGAAGACTAAAAGTAATTCTCAAGGTTTAAAATCCTGACCTATTTTTGAGGCCCGAAGATTTTCCTGCCAAGGAGCTGTGCACATAATGCCACCTACTGGACAAGTGGGAATTTTGGAGGCTATTTAACATCATAACTTCCTGATAGGAACCCTGCGCAGAACACTGAGCCCAATACCAACACCATCGTTTTAAAGATAAGGAAACCTTAGAATTTTGCATAAGGCCCAACATGTAGGAAGTGGTGAGCCAGAATGATAACCAGACTTCGGCCTTCTGGCTCTTAATCTGTGAGATGGAAACTCACATACAGATCTTATTCAATGAGAGCGACATTCCAGAAAGTATTTTTTTAATCCTCAACTATCTTTTCCCAGGGAATAGCACTTCTTTTTTTCTCTCAAAATGATTATTTTGAAAAGAAATTTATTGTAAAACCCAGAAAATTCTACATATGGGATTAAAATATTTTTGAAACTTTCACTTGGAAAGGGGTTTAACAGTTACGACAGCTATCTTTTAGTAGTAAAGAACTCCCTCTCTCTCAAATAATTGCATAACCTTCAGCCAAATCTGACCTGAGGCTCGTCTACCCGGAGATAAGCCACAGAAGAGAGTCAACAGGAACCCCCAACAGAGGCCCCTATGAAGACACCAGTTCAGTGACTGAGCATGGCAGTCAACGCCTGCCACAGTCTGTCGCCAGTTAGCATCCACCGACCTTTCTGACTTGCTGAGGCTGAGGGAGCACGTGCGGCGGGAAAGCGTCCTGTTTCTGAGGTGCGGTCTGGGCTAAGCCCGGGGACAAGGCAGCAGGTGCAATTTGAGGCTGAGGCTGAGGCTGAGGCTGAGGCTGAGGCTGAGGCGGGATTCCTGCTTGTGGTGGAGTCTAGGAGGCAAATTAAAAAATCAGTTGTCAGAATCAAGAATCAGGGGCTTAAATGTGGAATAACTTGTCACTTGGGGATATCTGAAATGGAATAAGATGTTTACAAATACACCCCTCAATTCACTGACACATACATTTGAACCTTAATCCCAAACCAGAGAGTTAAACAACAGACTGGTTATTTTCATGCTGTGTTTCTTAATGTCTAAGATTTTCATTTGAAAATCTGAGAAAACAGAATATGGAAATAGAATAAATCTGTACCAAATCGACACAAATAGCTCAGGTGCTATAAAAATTTTAAGAGCAGTGAGGACATTTGTGAGGCCTGCAATCAGTGCGCTCTCGGGGAAGGTCAGCCAGGAGCGGGGCACACACAGGCCCAGAATAAAACAGTTTTTGTTCCTAGAACATCAGCTCTAATGGGAGAAACACGCTGAGCAGAGCTATCTCACAGACTCTCAGTTTCATGGCCACTCTAAAGACTGAACAGGGCAGTTAGCATTTTGCACATGCTGATGGCCTCTGAGTCATGCTTCCCAACCCCAGGGGTGCGGGACACTCCTCTCTGTTATGGGCATCTGGGTAGTCAAGGCCAAGGAGTACAGGTCCAAATGGTTTCTCTTTATTTGTGGACCCTATTTTGTTAAAACCAATCCAAACTGCCTTACTTAACGACGACTTAGAGTCAATACCCAGAGACATGAAGGGAAACTTTGTGCTCATGTGCTTTATCACCACTCTCAAGAGCACCCTCCCTCGTGAATGTGGGGGCACATTTTCCTTAGCTTGGACACCTTTACTATAACGGTGAGTTAAAAGAACTACATTTAGGAGGCAGAGTGGGTACGAGAGTGAACAGTCTGCTGTCAGAGGGCCTCGACCTTGGGCAATTTGCTAAACCTTCCGAGGCTTGTTTCCTTATCTAGAAGTGGGTATTTCACTTGGATCTTCTGGGGGTAGGGAGGATAAAACACAGTAAGCCATTTACAGTACTCAACGCTATGCCTTGCACATAAAAAAATACTCTGTGACAGTAGCTATTATGATAGTAACACAGCTGGCACTGAAAAATGTCTACATCTGAGATACTGTGCTCATTAAAAATAAAAGGTCACATTAATAGAAAAGCACCCCTTGTTTGCTTTTACTATATAGAAACAGAGCTGGCTATCCACATTTCTGAATACCTCACCCCACAACACATGCACCAGTTTTCTGCAACTGTGAAGCCTGACTGGATGCATTTATGAAAAGCTTTGTCCCAGGCAGGCAGTAAGGCAAGGCAGTTAGAAGACACACTTCACACCTGGAGCTTTAGGCTGCCTACTGGGAGCTGCACTGAGGTGACATTGGAGCCCTGGATGGACAGCGGGAGCAGCAGCTGAGCAGTCTGCGTGGTCAGTAAAGCCTGAGGCTGAGCAACAATGGTGGGTGGTGGCTGTCCCTGGGAACTCACGTAAAACTGTGGGACAACGCCCTGCTGCTCTACGAGGGCCATGGGGGCCTCTTGCTTGATCACTACAGCCTTTTTGGCAATGAGGGTCTGGCCACTGGCCGAGACGGGCTGGCCGACAGGATGGCTGGCTCCCGGGACAAGCTGCCCGGAACTGGAGCAGTCGGCAAGCGAGGTCTCGTCTTTGACGGAGGAGCTGGCGCTGGCGCGTTTCTGACCTAACTTGCTGCTGGCATTAGCTGAGGCGCTGGGCTGGGGCTCCTGTGGCCGCTGCTGCAGCCCTCGCTTCTCTACCTCCAGCTGCATCTTCAGCACTTCCACGAGCTTCTGCTCTTGTTCCAGTTTCCTCTTCAGCTCTTCGATCTGCTTCTCTTTCTCCTGAAGTTTGCGGTCCTTCTCGGCTGCATCCAGTTCCAGACTTGACAGAGTGCTGTTGGTGGGACTGAGGCTGTCCTCGTTACTGGTCCCTCGCAGGGGAGACGAACACAAGAACTGCGACGGAGACATCATGGTCATGATCTCGGTGAACGAGTCTGCCATGTTTGTGTCCTCAGTGCTGAGATTGGACTGTTCGGAAGGGGACGGTGAGATCGGCAGAGGGGAGCTAATGCTTTCAATGTGGGCTAAGCTGTGGTTCCCAGCACACGGCGGTTCTGCCTTGAACGTGGGGCCCGAGCTGGTCACAGAGTTATGTGGCACTGTGACGGGCAGTGCTACAGTGACATCCAGGTTGCTGGTGACAATGGCAGGCGCTGGCACTGCCACGCTGCCGCCGCTGTTCACTTCCTGGTAGGGCTTCAGCCGTTCAATGAGGTCGGGTTTGGTGCCTGACACTGGAAGACCCCTTAACTTCAGTTCCGTCTTCAGTTCCGACACCTGGAAGAACAAACCAATCAGATCTCTCCTCCTTTTGGGAGCAGAACCTTCTGACAAACCCACAGGACACGTCTGATGGGAAAGGTGCCTACATCTGTCAGACAGCCCTGTGTTACTGCACATCTGATTCACACACACACTCAGCTACAGACATTAAGAACTTGAAGGGCCAGTGGTGATACAGCAAGGATTTCTAGAGGTTAATTCCTGTTATGTCAAATGATTTACTGCTATAAATGGTAAGTTACATTTACTGAGTGATTACCATGGGACAGACATCATTGCAAGTGCTTTATCCTTTCAGTTGATCTTCACAAGAGGCATAGGTGTTATTATTAGTTACATCTTATAAATGAGGACACTGAGGCAAAAGCAGGCGGAACCACTAGTCTACGCTACTGCAGATAACAGAGGGCTGAGCTGGGGAGAGAAACCCAGCAAGGCTGACCCTGGAGATCATGTTCTTAGCAGTGACATTTTCCTGCTTCTCCCAAACTCAGCAATCATCAGGGAAGAAAAATAATCTGCCTCTAGAGTCAGAAGTGGAATGGCGCCTGCACACGGTATAAGCTCAACAAATCTGAGTGTTATCATGAGTCATTTTAAAAGGAACATTAATTAATGGACCTAAAAATAAAGCATAATATGAAGGTTATACTGCTAGTAAAGTTGAATATTCGTCCACTGAAAATGACCTCCATCTACTAGACAGATCTGGCAAATCATTTACATTTTGGGGGAACTTATGGGTGAATAAACTCTACTTGGAATTATCACCTTTAGGTCATCCAAGCTAGAAGGCAGCGGTCCTGGTTTCCTCACAGGAGCAGATATATTCTGTCTTGGTGTATTAGATGTGGTATTGTTTAAACCTGAATTCCCACTGTTGTTATTTTTGTCATTGAGTGGCCTTCAAAAGAAAAGAAAATTACAGTTTATAATAAATGAATTTCTGGATTTGACATTGCTTCTGCTAACAATTTGTTAACTTATGAAGAGAAAAATGTCATGATTATGCTTTGGAAGACTCAACATTACAAAGATGTCAATCAAATCAGATCCCAATAAAAATCCCCAAAGGTCTGGTTTATTTGCTTGCTTGGTAGAAATTTAGAAAGTGATTCTAAGCTTTATGTGGAAATGCAAAGGGCTGAGAATAGCCACAGCATTCTTAAAGAAGCAAAGCAAAACTGGAAGAGTCATACCACCACATAATGAAACTTACTACAAAGCCAATTGTTGAGATGGTACAAGGACAGAGACAATGGGAGAGCATGATGGGTCCAGAAACAGACCCCATACACATGGGCTCTTACATTACCACTGAGATGACACTGCAGTGCAGTGGAGAAAGGGTGCTGGGCCGAACTGGATATTCATACAGAAAAAAATAGGGCTTATGATTGACCTCTACCTCACATCATCCTAAAACCTACACATGAATTTTGCAAACAATAAAGCTTTTAGATGAAAACTTATAATAGTATCTTCATGGCCTTTGGATGGGCAAAGATTGCTTAAACAGGACACAGAGAACCCTAACTAAAGGAACACTGTTCAGAGGGTGATAATTCGAGCCATGGGAGGAGGTATTTGTAACATGTTTCTGACGGGAGGAGGTATTTGCAACAACATGTTTCTGACAAGGCCTCCTATTTGGAACATACAGAGAAGTCTTGCAAGTCAGTAAGAAAAAGGTAAAACCCAATGGGAATATGGGAAAAGCCTGAACAAGTGCATCATACGGAAGTGCTGAGTACGACGCTTGGTGTCGTGAGGAGCATGTGAATGTGAGCCACCTGATGCTGGTGCCATTGGTGGGGACGGCAGTGGAGGCCACCCTGGGTCCCTTCCAACCTCATTTGGGCCTGCTTGCTCTCAACATAGTAACATGCTGCAAAAATTCTTTCTTCATTTCTGTGCCCTGATACTTCAGATAAAAGTACATCACAGTAAAGTCCAGATGACTAATAGTTCTTATCTTTCTGGAGGTAGCTGGATCTTAAAGAAGTGAGTTGATAATCATTAGCATTTGAGGAGAGACTGCTTAAGAAGCTCTTCAGAGGGTCTTAATCCTTCTGCACTCATAGGGAACAGGGGCTCCCTGTGGAGGATTTGCTTAGTCTGTGGGCAGAAAACAAAAGCAAGGTTCCTACAGATCACGTGATCATAAATGGAAAGAATCACTAAGAATATTCTGCCTGCGATTCGGATTTTGCATGTTTTTCTAGAATTTCTTTTGTTGAGTTGAATATAAATATCCCTTTCTCCTGAAAAGAAAGGGAAATTAATAGGGTCTCTGTATTTTTATCTATGTTTTCCAGAAAAAGCACATTGAGGACATATACCTAGAAATTTCCTTTACTACATAATTTAAGTTAGCTGTGGCTGTTTGCTATGAATTCGATCTCAGAAATCATCAGAACTCACTCCCTTCTGTCTCCCATGACAGGGCTCAAGCTTTGAAACATGTTCCTTCCCTACAGCTGTTGGACACCTAGACCTTTACTTGTCTTCTGTAACATCTGTTGTCTGTTCCTCCTCTCCATCGTCTGCGCCCTTTCCTCTTCTCACAACTACTCTATTGAAGAATTTATAAATGGTTTTCCTATTTCCAGACTCCCCTTCAGTATCAGTGTCAAACCATTCTTTGCTGCATTTTGACTTTACCAAGTCTGCTGAAACATCTACCACACATCAGGATTCAGGTCTGCCTAACTTCAGGTTCCTCCAGACGCTGGCTCTACTCAATTTTGTCTTCTGCTCTTCTTAAAAATAAATCATTATTTATGCAGGCTCCTTCTCTCACCATCCAGGCATTGCTTACCCCGCCCTCTGTGCTTGCACTTGGATCATTCACTTTGCCTGGAAGAGCCCTTCCCAAGTATCAGGCCCTTTCCCATATAGACATCCTGCCTTTTTCATAAAGTGTTCCTTGACCACTCTAGCTTTTATGCTCATCTGTCTTTTTTATTTTTAAACTATTTATAACAGGCGTTATCCTTCCAATGCTTTTCTTATAGCATCTAATACCATTTGAGTAAATAATGAGCAAATCTTTCCTGGAGTAATAATTGTGAAACTAATTTCTAACTTGCGAAGGTCAGAACTTATTCTGGAGGACAGAAATTGGGCTGAGTGCAGGTTGTTCTTACTAGTTGACTTCGGACACTGTATGATGAGCTTTGCCTACAGAATGACAATCATCATCGAGCACAAGGAAATCATAAGACCCAACCTTTAGGAACTGAGGGTTCCCCATCAGAAACTGCAGTGAACCCCCCCTTGCGAGCCAGCTAGGCACGCAGCCCGTACTTGAGGGGGGCAGGCAGGATGGTCTGGTAGCTATACTGGTGCCGCTGGCTCAGGATCTGCAGCTGCAGGAACAGCTGCTGCTGCTGAAGCAGGCGGGCGTAGTTGGAGTCCATCTGTGGCTCGTTCTTCTCGCCCTTCTGATCTGGTGGGATGTACTGGTGATACTTCAGCTTCTTTATCCGGGGCTTGGGGTCCTTGCACTTTTTGCTCCGGTGTTTGTCATTTGGATTCTTGGGATGGCTTTGCTATTTTTTGAGAAAAAGACAAGACCATTTTAAGAGATGCAGTGGGGGGTAAACAGACGTGTGCAATCTATTCAACTGTGGGGAGATGAGTGGAAATGAAAAGCAGTGCACCTTAGGGACTGGCACAGCCACTCTGGGAAGCAATATGCAAGAAACATTTCAAGAGCCGAGAAGACATCTGCTGCTTCCTTTAACCAAGAAGTCTTGCTCCTAAGAACTTATTTTCTCCTGCTGCATTGTTCCCATAGAGCAAGGGCAAGATGCTTACCTCAGCACTGTATATTCACTTTCAAACAACATTTAGTTTGGGTCTCGTGCAGACATGCTGCTAAGTGTTTACGTTTATTATCTCTGAGTGAAAAACAGGTCATGCACTAAATATACAATAGGGAAATGAGTAAGTATATTTTACTGTATCTAATATTTTATAGTCACTTAAAAAGCACAGAGAATATATATTAAAATGCTTCCAATGTGAATAAAGTAGAACATAAGCTATGTATTTCTATGGAAAATACACAAAAAAGAAAATAGTAATGCAAATATGAATTCTTTAAACAATTTCAAAATAGTACATTTTTATTTTGAAAATGGGGTGTGAGACTGTATCTAATGACTAAGAATTAGATGACATTTTCTTGAGTTCTTTTCTTCTCCAGTTATAAGTTATCAGATCACTTTTTACTTACTATCATTCGTATTATAAGATAGCTTCATCTGCAAAAGTCTGTCAACAAAGCAAACAGAACAACAAGGCATAGAAAACTATTCCTAAGCTGCTGTAGGGAAAATACTCAGTAAGATGACTTTGAGACCTACTAAATTATATAAAGCTGTTGGTGTGACCATGTTCCATATGTTCATAGTCAAAGAATTAAGAAATTACACCCAAAATACAAAAATAAAGAAGATAAAAGATAAAAAAGATTCTTAGCTTTATATGATCTTTTTAGAATGACTATAAAATACTACATACAGTAAAATATACTTACTCATTTCCGTATTGTGTATTTATTTAGTGCACGACCTGTTTTTCACTCAGAGGTAACAGCCCAGAAATCATCGCTACTAACATTCACTCCCCCTTGGCCATCTCTATTCAGTCACAGTTTTCTTCCCACAGGTACCACGCGGCTCCCTCCCTCACCTCTGTAGATCTCTGCTCAAACAAATTCTGACTCCAGGATGCTTAACGTAAAGTGGAAGCGTCTCCTACTTCGCCACGTGCTCTGCCCTCACTTCACCTTTGCCCCTTGGCACCCTCTGTATTTTGTTGTCTCTGTACCTCCCACTCCTAACCAAGGTGGGCATGTGTGACTGTGATTTTCTCTTCACTATCTACTATAGCAAATATCTATCTACTATTTTTTACTGTATGTAATAAATATCTACCTACTCCTCGTACCTACAACAATGTCTGGTACACAGAAGGTGCTCAGTAAGTGTCTGCTGAATAAATAAATGATAGATGTGTTTGCTGATTAGAAATCACTTGAACTATCATGAATTTAAAATAAATCACAATGGGAGAATATTCTTACCTGTGAAAGCATCTTCCTGCAGTCTCACAATTTTAATCAAATCACCGCTGTCTGTGTACTTTGTTATCAATACTAAATTTTACTTCTAGTCTTTTCTAAGTGATCATAACAATGAATGGGATCTGGGCTAAGGAGGTCTGCCTATAACTGTTCTATACTGATAAAACAATCAGCTCAGCCACAATTAGGAGGCTCCTGTTGGAGGAGGGAGGGGGACACAAATATAATAGGCAGTATTCCTCAGACTAAATGTATTACCTATTACTTGGCACATACCTGTTCTCTCAGGAAGTGGGGATGGGAAAGAGCTTTCTTCACAGAAAATCCCAAAGCATGTTGTTCTGTTTCCTAATATGTACCAGTCCTTTTCTCCACTGGCAGCATCCTAGGATTCCCTATCCAATGCCAGAATCTCACATGCTTAAAAAATGCTTCTTGCCCTACAACCAAGGTCCTCTTTAAAAACAGACACAGTGAAGAGCAGAAATTCAGAGACTAGGAGGCAAGAGAACAAATTCTTTGTATCTACAGGGCAGGAAGTGTTGGCATCCAAACTGTCTTTGTGCCATTAGTGATCTGTGCTTAAGGATGTAGGATGAGGAGGTCAGAGCTGATATTACTGGCACAGCTGCCACATGCCACCCTCTGGAATTTCTGGCTTCAATGCTAAGTGATGGAAGACGGTAAAATCCACTGATATGTGCCCTGAAGCCACACACACTCAGCCACTGACAAAGGGAGCCTGAAGTAGAAAGCCTTCTTTATAGGAAGACAAAGGTCAAGGTCAAGGACAGTGCCAGGGGACAGACATGAGGAATCTGCACCAGGCTCACTGCCTCTGAGGAGCTATGCAGTGAGTTAACTGGGGAGCAGAGAGAGGGCTGCACAGGGATCTGGGAGATTGGGATCCTTCCTGGTCCTGCCACTTCACTTCTTCAGGCCTCAAGTTTCCTCACCTGAAAGGTGGTGGGAGGCATAGCTGGCTCTCTAATATGCTTTTTTCATTCTAAAAGTTTGAGATCTGTGTTCTGCTAGTTTTGGCAAAAGCCACATCTGAAATGAGTACACGATTCCTGTTTATCCCCTCTCCACTTTATTTAACAGTTCTAAACATACTTTAAAAACTTTAAAAAGGTATGATATATTAAAATTTTTAATCTTTCATGGGACTTCTTCTAACTGAATTATTTTGCCAAATCAAAACACATTTGCTTCTCAAAACCTCCACCCTGTCATGTAATGTGTCTGGGATACACTGAGTCTGACCTTGTATATAAAGTCCAAAATTATGGTATCATTAAAGACATCTGTGAGATTCATGAACCTGAAGTGCTCTGCTCTTACTGGTTTCCCCTCGTTTCATCCTAGTTGCCAGGACGGTAGCAGAGCTGGGAACTGCTGATAAAACATACCCTGACCTCTTTCTGCACAGCCCCCGTAGCCGTTTGCAGACCGAGTTCTGTGCAGTTCTGCTACGACTACAGACAGCAGATCATCTGTTGGGTGTGGAAGTTTCAAATATTAAGGCCTGGCCTAGCAAGTCCTTCCATGGTTTCACTGTCTAAGGCTTCCAGCTGAGGTGGGCTGGGCAACGGGGAAACATCCTTTGTCTTGCACACACAGGACCACATACAAGCCACATCTGAAGACGCCATAGCCTGTGTGCTCACAGGTACCCACCTTTACCAGTGTTGGCCCAGGCTTTGCTGAGGACACAGTGTTCGTGGGCAGGACAGGAGTGGTGCACTTTGTGGGGGGCTGATCCGTGGTAGGAGTTTTCAAGAATTCAGGAACTGTGGCGGACACTGAAGTAAACTAGTGGGAAAGGCAGAAAGGGGACAATTGTGAAACTGATGACAGGAGAAACAGAAAAACCAGGATCACAGTGGAATGAACTCATTTTTTTTAAGTCCACCGGAAAAGAAACAAAAGAAAAATACATTATGTCTGAGACCCAAATGTTGGAATAACATGGTTTACCTCAGTGGGGCCGATCATTTAGTCTTTGCCCCCCTAGCAATGAAAAGATAACACTAAATAGGGTCAGACTGACTAAAGTGCAGTTGTTGTCTCAGCAATATGGGCAGAACTACCCTTTTTTAGCAGAAAAAAGTCCAAGACTCTTGTAAAAATGATCCAAACATTACATGGTATTCATAAGGCTTTCTTGCTGTGTATGTCACACTATCTTGGCTATTGGCTAATTTAAACATGTTTAGTTTTCGTTACCGGGCCCAGGGAATCCCTTCTATCACACCCAAGTCCATGGCTGAGCTGCATCTGCTCAGGAAGCTTCCAGTTCTTGGAGGTCCCTCCACGCACGTCAAGTTCTTGACTGTATTATTCAGTTTGTGTTCCTATCTCTGAGCCTGACTAGTACTCTCCTTAACCATCTCCTCCCATTTCCTGTAACAGGAGGAAATCTGAAGAATATATTCTGATAAGATCAACCTTTTACATTAACAGTACCTCACACTTACAGCAAGAAGCTAATTTGTAAACTAGGCCAAAATGAGCAAATACTATATCTCAGTTAACAAAGGAAACTATAGAAGGCTTTGTTATTAACAACTTAATAACCTGCTCCCATATGCAATCTAAGTAGATTTTATGTGTTCATTTACTGGAAATGAACTGGAAAGAGGTATCACAATGACAGTAAGTCACTTAAATACTGCATATTGATTACTGCTTGGACTTACTATTACCAGCATTATCTTGAGGAACAATGTCTCCCTTTATTATTTTTACTTCCCCAAACAGCTCTCAACTTTATTACATCAATCAAAATCAGTTCTCTTGTGAAAGCCTTTGGGTTTAAAAATGGCAAACTCTATTTTCTTCCTTAAAATAAACGACCTGAAAACTCAGAGGGTTATTAGCAGTAAGAAATATGAAGCTTGGCACATGCTAGTTACTCAATAAATACTTGTTTAATGGGTGAATGGAAATTTCTTGTGGCTTTACTCAGGTGAGGTCACACTCTAAGTCCAGATGAGACTGTGAGGGTGTGAGTGTGCAATGAATCGTGCATGTGCATGTCAGCTCTCTCACTGAGGTTTGTTTGCACATTGCCACTGGTTTCAGCTTTTAAGTAATTATTAGTAACAGTTAAGTGTGGACAATATAAAAGACTTGACATTTAAAGATGGCTATGTCCCTGCCCTTATCTGAGGTTTTGCATTCTCTGGTTTCAGATACTGGTGGTCAGCCTCATCCAGAAGCAGACGATGGTCCCTCTGTCTGTCACAAGGTCAAAGGAGTCCAGTGCCACATCCCAGTGCCCGTCACTCCCCTCACTCCATCTCATCATGGAGGCATTTTTGTCATCTCACATCACCACAGGGAGGATGAGGACAGTAGTTAAGATATTTTGTGAGGAAGAGAGGCCACATTCACATAACTTTTATTAAAGCATATTGCTATAATTGATTTATTTTTAGTTATTGTTGTTAAGCTCTTACTGTGACTAACTTATTAATTAAACCTTATCCTAGGTATGTATGTATAAGAAAAGACATAGTATATACAGGGTTCGGTACTATCTGGGGGTTTTGGATTGTATCTGCTGTGGATTAAGGGGGGTACAACTATACTCAATTTTTTTTTTTCAAAAAAGAAAGGAAAAGCTGATTTCTGCCCCAAACAGCCCTGAGACACCCCCTCCTTAATGAACCTCTGACATAAAGCACGAGATGATGGCAAGCTGATCACTGTGTTAAGGGATAGTTTTATGTTGTTTTCCTTTCACTGTGTACATCATTTTGGAAATAAGGATACGTATCTCCAAGTTAATTTTCACGCAGGGGAAAAATATCCTTTGGCTACTAAAGATATTTGAAAAAAAAACTCCTTGCAGATAAATTCTAACCTGGCAAGCTATTTTACCAGTCCAGCATCCACTGGATAAGATAATGATGGAGTTGTGTGCAGCGTTAGTTACCTGAACGTAACCGAGGTGCACGAATGTGGTATCTACTGTAATATTTATGAAAACATTCTGCCTTTGTTTCTAGACTGCCTAATTTACTTCAGCCTTGATTACTGATATTCCCAGCTTATTGCTTCTTTGGTATTTTGGTGTGACTTTGCTACCCAGAAAAATACAGACTCCAGCATAACATAAGAATAACCCAAATGAGATACAGTAATTGTTTACTTTACCTAATCTGAAGATAATCTGATTGGTTAAAAAAGGGCAAAATATCTGAACTCTTCTTTACATTTTGCCAGTCTTTTTTATGTGACTTAGAAGAATCCCCCCACTCCCCAAATCTTAGGTTATATCTGGAGGTAAGAATCCTAGTGGCTAGAATTACCAAACAATCTAAATATTAGTACTTCTGAAATGACAGTACTACTAAAAGGATTAAAAGGATATCCAAGCCATAAAGGATACTACACTAACTTTGTTCCATGGTAAATTGGGCAATGTTAAAAACCTCAAAGAATGCTTTAAGTATGTTTGGATTGCCACTGGGACCTAAATTCACCTTATGTACTATCAAAACATAATCTCAAAATGATTCAGAATCTTTTCTCCAAAGGTACAAAGTTTGTTTTGTTTATTGGATCTGATCACTGTTCCCATCACATGTTACAGGTCTATAGCTACAAGTTAATTGTCATCCTAACACCATGAAAGGAAATGTCAGTCAAACGTTGTTTAATGATGGATATTTGCGCTTTGCATAAAATGCAAAAGAAAGACAACTTTCTCTCTAATTAGAAATTGCTAAGGGAAAATCTGTTACAAAAGAACTAAGTCAGAAAACATGTTTAAGCTGATAAAGTTTACAGTGTTTCAGGTGTCTGCACTAATTCCTTCTGAAAAAATACACTTGTCAAGGACCAATCACTGTTTTCTGGTAAATTCCTTTTTTATTAGGATTTCTTTGGGCAATCTGGAGGAACAGAAACTAGATGTATAAAAACAAAGCTTTTTTGTACTGTAGATTTTAAATCTGCAATAAATGTGTTTTTAATTTAGGATGCAGCAGTAATCTTAATTACGATGGCAATATGCAAATGATTCATTCAAAATGCAATCATTCTTTATATATTGTTTCCATATTCCAATCTCCAGACAAAGAAAGTGAACACTTGTCAAGGGACTGAGTTGAATACAAATAAAAAACATATGCTTTGTGTATTTTTATAGATGGATATTTTATGTAAAATTCTAGCTTTGTTAAAATAAATCACTTAGCAATGACTACTTGTTTCTGTAATATATAGTTACAGATTTAAGCATTTCATTTTTAGAACAAGTAGTTGGACATTAAAAGTAAATTAACTCATTGGTACAGTATCTAGTGGATATTCAGTCAGCATTTGATTACTTGATTAGTAATGAGGATTTGCATATTTTTAAATGCAGTTTGTTTTAAATGAGGATCTTTCATTTAAAAACTATTTTAAAACACTGTGGTAAAACATATCTAACATAAAATGTACCACTTAAGCCATTTTAAAGAGTATATTCTTACCATTACCCCTCTGCAGAACTTTTTTTTATCTCCAACTAAAGCTCTGTATCCATTAAACAAAGACTCCCCATGTTCCCCTCTTCCCAGGCCCTGGCAACCATCTACTTTTGGTCTGTATGAATTATTCTAGGTATAAAAGTGGAATCATACAACATTGTTCCTTTTGTGACTGGCTTATTTCACTTATTTAGCATAATGTCCTCAAGGTTCACCCATGTTGTAGCCTGTGTCAGAATTTCCTTCATTTTAAACAATGAATAATACTCCACTGTGTGTATGTTCCATATTTGGTCTATCCATTCATCTGTTGACAGACACATGCTTCCTCCTTTTCACTGCTGTGAATAATGCTGCTGTGAACATGAGTGTGCCAATATCTGTTCAAGCCCCTGCTTTCAACTCTTCTGGATATATACCCAGAGGTAGAATTGCTGGGTCATATGGTTATTCGATTTTTAACTTTTTGAGGAACTGCCATACCATTTTCTATAGTGGCTGTACCATTTCACAATCCCAACAGTGCAGAAGAGTCCCAATTTCTCTACATCTTTGTCAACACTTGTTAGTTTCTGTTCTTTCAACAGCAACCATTGTAATGGTGTGAGGTGATAACTCATTGTGGTTTTGATTTGCATTTCTCTAGTCATTAGTGACACTGAGCATCTTTTCATGTGTTTACTGGTCATCTGTTATCTTCTTTGGAGAAATGTCTAGTCTAGTCCTTTGCCCATTTTTTTAACCAGGTTGTTAATTTTGTTCTTGAGTTGTGGGGAGGTGTTTATGTATTGTGGATATTAACCTCTTCTCAGATACGTGATTTGCAAATACTTCTCCCCATTCTGTGGGTTCATTTTTACTCTGCTGATAGTATTCTTTGATGCAAAGAAGCTTTTAATTTTGATGGAGTGTAATTATTTTTTCTTTTGTTACCTTGCTGTCATATCCATAAAATCATTGCCAAATCTAATGTTGTGAAACTTCCCTCAATATTTTCTTTTATGAGTCTTATAGTTTTAGCTCTTATGTGTTCAGTAAGGGTGCAGCTTAATTCTTTTGCGTGTGGATATCCAGTTTTCTCAACATCATTTGCTGAAGAGACTGTCCATTTCCCATTGAGTAACCTTTGCACCCTTGTTGAAAATCATTTGCCCATACATGTGAAGGTTTGTGGCCTCTCTTTTCTATTCCTTTGCCCTATATATTTGTCTTTATGCCAGAACAATACTATTTTGATTACTGTAGCTTTATAGTAAGTTTTGAAATCAGGAATTCCTCCAACTTTGTTTTTTTCCAAGATTGTTTTGGCTATTTGGAGTCCCTTGAGGT